ATGTATGTATGTATGTATGTATGTATGTATGTATGTATGTATGTATGAATGTATATTAACCTTGATTTAACCATTTATGTTTTTAACCATGTAAATCACCCATTAGGATTAAGCCTTTTTTCACAAGTGTTACTTTGTGGAAAGAAACATATTGTGGATATTTTGTCAGTCCTCCATTATTACCATTTTGATGCCAACTTCCACTTTACACAGCGCTTCCTGTTTCAAGCACATATTTTCAACTTGGCCCGACCCTCTGAACTGTTCAACCCACCCATCCTTTCCTCATCAACACTGTGCTTGTGTTGCTTTTGGTGTCACAGGGGTTTGGAATAATTGACCATGAATTTGTTCTGCAAATGGAGGATGCTACTTATTAACCTGTTCATACAGATATGCTTCATGCCTGAAATACATTGCAACGCTGGAACTGTCAGTCATCTGTCTAAAGAAGGTACGCCTTTAGGATGGTTTATTTAACAACGCTGAAGTGCACTGAGTCTTAAAATGTTAGTGACAAAATACAGTAAGATACAACTATCTATCGATCTTTAAATGTTAAAAAACGTAACTGCTTGTGAATAGTTGTGTTTTAATGTTACAGTTTGACTTTAGATTTGTTATTGTTTGACTTTGGTTGCATATTGCTGAGAATTTTGTCAATTCTGGATGTGTTTTTGAGTTGGATTTATTTTAAACCATGAGATATAAAGTTATAAACATGTCTTATCTTGTAACAGCCATAATTCCTTCCAGAGGGTTTATCATTTGCAGCATTGGGTATTAGAGAATGATGCTACCTTTTTAAAACATCTAAGGAAGAAAAAAAGAACATCAAAAATAGAAATTGGAACACCTTTTTATTCTCTGAAGAAAAACTCAAAATGCTCTGTTTTGAATGCGTATTTTGTGTGTTTGTCACTTCTGGAGTAGAAATGTTGGTCTTCAAGGATGAGGAAAATCCAAAGTGCTTCACTCGCACAGAAGAGGATTTCACCTGCTTCTTTGAGACCACGGAGAACAGAACGCATGATTTTTACTATAAATATGAAAAGTACGTTTTTCCATTACCTATAGGGAGATGTTTGAGACAGCTCATTTTTGTACTTAGTTTTTTTCTAATATACGCTTGGCAGCATTTTCCCATGTTTCCCTGCTGCAACACAACTGATTCATATTACTCTGCAATTATTTCTGTTTAGTTTTGGGGGGAAAATGGTTATCAATACATCTAAGTAAACTGGATTGGAGGTTGATATGTACACCTGAGATGCCTGATGACCAGGACTGATAAACCTGATCACTGATTTAATATAGAACTGAGAAACAAAGTAACCTTGCCATAATTCACAGATTTGCTTTATTTTACACACACTGAACGTATACATAATCTAAAAGTCTATAAGGAAATTACTACACTTGTGAAAATGGGAAATTCTTTTTTTTTTTACCACTGTGCATTTAAGACTATGTGTGCAGTTTCATTACTAAAATGCATCTTGTTTGTATCCCTCTTTGTGTTAAAGCCAGCTTCAAAAGAAGTGTGAAATGTCTGTACAGAGAACAGAAGAAGGAACTTTCCTGCACATGTGTTATTTTCCCAACCAGGATGTTACACTATACTCAGAACTAAACGTTACAGTGTTGGAACCTTCCAACAACACCATGCTCTTCAGCCGGATTCTCAGTGTGGAGGACCATAGTAAGACATTTTAAAAAAGTAATATTTTAAGTCTAAGAATGAAATAAAAAGGACAAAAAACAGCACATACCCCACAAACATCCATCCATCCATCCATCCATCCATTTTCTGAACTGATTATTCCCAGATGGGGTTGCGGGGGGACTGGAACCTATTCCAGCAGTCAATGGGCGAGAGGCAGGGTACACCCTGGATGGTCCATCTGTCCATTGCAGGGCCACACAGAGACACACAAAGACAAACAACCACGCACACTCACATTCACTCCTAAGGTCAGTTTGGCATGTCCAATCAACCTAATGCAAACAATGCCATGTTTTGCACGTGGCAAAATATGCACAAGGTTCTTTCTCAAGTGAAAACATATGTGCAAAACGTGTTGTACAGAGATGTTACTATAATCGCAGCAAGAGGGTTCCTAGTTTTAATCCCAACTAACCCTTTCCAGTGTGTTACATGTGTACACACTACACATTACACTACAGCATAGTCCCCCCTAACATTGAAGATTAACATACATGGTTGTTTGTCTCTGTGTCCCTGCTATGGCCTGGTGAACCAATATGGGTGCATTCCACAGCTCACAGCTGTTATCCAAAAATTGTGAAGTATCTGTGAAGGGAAAAGGAGGAATGAAATAAGTTTAATTGAAAACTGTTTTTTCTCCATGTAGATCTTTTGGATCCTCCCTTCAATGTGTCTTTAAACCCGAAAGACAACGTGGGACTACTGTGGGTTTCCTGGCACACCAAATCCATGGATTACTTTGAAGAAAAACAATATAGAATTCGATACTCATCTGGGTCTCTTCACGACAAAATAGAAAAGGTTTCTCCGTCTATTAATTCAGTCATTTCAAATATGAATTTCTTAAAAGACTTTGTATTAAAGCACAGAGATGTTTGACAGAGTCCAGTAGGGGTGTGCTCATTTTATTATCACCAATCACACTGTATCACTCATGCTTTGATTATGAAGCCTTAAAATAGAAAAGTATTGAAAGATTTTGAAATAAGTTAAACGTTTTGTTTAGTTTGTTTATCAATTCTGATACTTGGACATTAAAACTTTTCCACTGTTTTTTTGTTGATTTAGACTATTTTGATTGTGTTCCTTTCTCCTCCTTTCAAATACAATTATTCCACAAAACATTATAACATTATGGAATTTCCATTATAAAGTCAAACATTTGTTCCAATTCATCAGAATTCATAATATGAACAGCATCTGATTTCAGACAAAGAAGAATGGCCATGAGCTCATCCTGGCACCGGGCGAAGAGGTTAAAGTCCAGGTTGCTGTCAGATGTTGCAATTCAGAAGGAGGGCACTGGAGTGTCTGGTCACAACCTGTCCAAGCTTCTGTTCCCCAAAGCACAGGTTTGATTGACTGAAAACCTTGAAATTTTATGACTTCATTGAAGAGAAAGAGAGGAACCATAATGCTCAAAATTCCAATTCTAATTCCAAGTGCAATACTTGAGTAATTGTTTCTCCTCTCAGATGATATCTCACTGATGTGCCACACATCTGATCTTTACAATGTTACCTGCCACTGGAATGGGCACCAATATGGAGCCGAAAATAAGTTCAAACTTTACTACAAAATGAGGTAATATAACAACACTTTTTTACCCCGGTCTTTTTTTCCCTAGTTCTGGAATTTAAAAATAGACAAATGTAAATGTAAATCTTTTTAATAAAGGATTTTCCATGAAAATTTTATGTTCAAAGCTGACATGGTGTCCTGACTTTGTGTTTGTAAGCAGTTCTTATTCTTTATCATTTGCCAAGATTTGATGAAAAAATGATGTAATCCCTTCAGAAAATCTTTAAATTGGACTGAATGGATCGAGTGTTTGGATACTGGGAACGCCTCTGACATGTGCTATTTTCATGGTGATGAGCTCAGAAAATTCAAGGTCAAGCTCAACAATACCCGAACTGAAAGAATCTTCTTTTCCAAAGAGTTAATGCTCAAAGACTTGAGTGAGTGATATCTTTTTTCTATTTTCTCCATTTAGATGTCTAACTTATTTCAAGCTCAGTCTTCAGGGTTACAGTTTTAATCCCCTTAAAGGCTTTTGTTCTTCAGATGAAATAGTGCATAGTGCTGTAGTTGGGGATTTTTTGACATATAATCGATTGTGGTTTCTTCCAGAAAGAATGTGTTCTAGCTTGGTTCCTGGATGATACATTTGGTAATTGTTAAGATTGCATATAGTGCTTCAGACGGCATTTTTCAGCTGCTTTAGTTGTTAAGAACCTAGGTAGAAACATTAGAGTCTCTTCATTCTCTTTAAGGAATAAAGGGAACATTTTGAGACGTCCAGTAATAATTTGTTTGTACTGTTTTCACAGTCAAAACCTTTGCACCAGGTAATCTGAGAGGAATGCTGAGGCAAGACAAGCTGTGCTTGGAATGGGAATCCCCTCTTCCATCTCTGTCAACCCATCTGCAGTATGAAGTTGGCATTCAGATCACAGGAGGTGAACGCTGGAGTGTGAGTTAATAACAAATTACCTGTCCTACACAGTAATAATAAAATGAAAAAAATGCTAAAAATGTCTCAGTGTTTAAAACTGACAATCTATTGCCACTTTGAAAGCATGTTTTCAGTTTAGAAAATTGTCAGTAAAAGTTACTTCTATTGCTTTGCATTTCTGTTGCAAGATGCATTTTTTTGTTGAATCTTATTCTAATATTTTATCATTTTTATTCACAACTTTCCCATCTGCGATCTCTGCAACTAGCTAACCAAAGTTACAGCTCGGCCCTTAATTGTTAAAACAGATAATCCATCATATTAAATGCAGCCTTACAGCACTGAAAGTTTATGTAACATCTTTAGGGTGTGTCTTGAGGACCTATTGAGAATATTATCTATTGTATTATGTATGTAATTATCTATGTATTTTAAGACATTTTAAGAATGCTCAGAGTAATGGGAAACACGTGCTTCAATTGCCAACTTGTATTTTATTTGTACCCAGATAATCAAGGGACCTGAGACTGATACATGTATACAGATTCCACTGGGTAGCCAGTTCAGCATTAAAATCAGAGCTAAACCTACTGGAAACGTTTACTCAGGCAACTGGAGTGACTGGTCAGATGTGCTCAAGGGTGAGACCCCACCTGACATAGGTAAGCTGTCAATAATATATCAATAAACTAGCCATTCACTCGGTAAGCAAATCCATCAATGAGTAAAATTACATTAAGTCGGTTAATTACATCCACTCATTGTGACGTAGAAAAATATATTTCTTTAATTTAGGCCGAATACTTAAGAGGATATCAACTGTTTCTGTCTTGAACAAAAATGATTATTTCTTTAACCAAGTCAGTATGTACTGTGCAAAACATGTATCTTTTACAACTGACCCTCTCAGGCATGCTGACTACATGCAGTATCCTTGTTCCCATGGTAATGATCGTCATTGTTCTCATTTACATCTTTCGCCTTAAACGCAGGTAAGAATCACATTCAGTCATTCACCAGAACTAAAATACACCTTTATGTAAAACCAAAAAAAATACAGTGAAAAGATTTCTTTGAAATGATCTACTTAATTACATTAGTATTATTTCTATGTACTGTATATATACATCAGGCCCATTTTGTGGTGACTGAAGGTTTTCAAACAAATCATAATGGTACATTCTAAGTTTTAATCTTTTTTTAAATCTACTTTTCAGAAGAATCAAGCAGTATTTTTGGCCACCTTTGCCAAACCTTGAAAAAGTTCTACAAGGTTTTCTGACAGACATCGACAGGCAGAAATGGGTAAGTTATTGAACATCATTGAATTTCTAATCATGCAATATCACTGTACACTTCACAGACGTGTCTCATCCTGCTTTTTTATCACTTTATAAAAAAGTAATACAATGCCATCATGACAGTGATGTAATTAAATCTTGGAAGTGGAGCATACAGTCCAACACTTTCAAATGCACGTAGATATCAGCAGGCATAATATTTCAGTTTTGTACTTACAATTTAGGATCCCCCTTTTACTGCAAAGCAATGCTTTGAAGAAACCACTTCCTCTGTGTTGGAGATCATGTCTGAAAGTGAGGTTCCAGGATCAGGGAAAACATCAGAGCAATCATTTGAACTCCTGCCATCTGATGGAAGTGTCTCCAGTGAAGAGCATGTGGATGGAAACTCTGGGACTGAAGTCTTCCCAGATTATGTGACTCTGAATAGAGAAATTGTCATGCTTTGTCTTGAAGAAAATAGTTATGTGTGCGAGTTGGTAAGAGAGAAAGATCCTGAGGTACGAGATGAGCTCCTCCAGACATGCAACTGTTCCTTCACTGATGCAGCATCTTATGTCAAGCCTTGCTCAGACAACAACTTTACCAACCATTGCTACTTACTAATGTCAGAGTCTAAAGACAACTACGAGACTAATGGGGGACAGATTGCAGATAACCTGTATACCAACCTTCCCCATAGCTAAAAACACGATAAAGCCGGCACACGTTATCTCCACTGGTGCAGCTTCGGTGTGTTTTTGTACTGGCCAAAGAACTTACTGCAGAACAGTTGCAGCAACATAAACTCTAATAAAGAGGAAAAGGTCAATGTGGAGCAGCACAAACATCTTTGCATTAACGTTGGGTTTCAGCAAAGAAGGTTGGGACTGATTTGCTGTGTGACAGATGTCGCTTCCAACAGCATGTTTTTATTTTCATATTATATATGTATTACTGTTGTTTTTTTCATTGTACTGTATAAAGGACTTCCATTATAACAGCTCACAATTTATCCATAGTGCTTCACAATTTGTATCTGCCTGGTGCAACAGCAGCTCATGTGATCTTTGTAAGACTGCAAATCTGATAAAGTGAAGTTGTGTTAATCCACAGAGACGTTTCTGTGTACTTTTCACTTATCTATTTGTTTTTTGCGGTAGTGCTTGTTTTTCAGCAGTTATTGTGAACACAGTACATGAATTGAGGTGAACCAGAACACAACTTGCATGCTTGTTGTGTGATTCATTGATTAAAACACCAACTCTGCTATAAGTATCCTCATTCTTTATATCGTAAAGAATGTAAATCGAAGTTACTCTTAAATTAGATTATTTAGTCTTTTACAAGTAGGAGTTTTTTTACTTGATTTGTTATAGTTTGCTCTTCTATCGGTAACGCAGCTTCTAGATCTATGATGCACATTTCTTTGAAGAACTTGTCTTAATTTCCACTAATTCCCACTATAATTACATTATATATGCAAGTTTGTTTTTTTACATTATTAATCTAAATGCTTTTTTCTTCAGACTGATGTAATTCAGACGTGACTGGACACGTATACAATAAGTCCATGAAACATTTTCAACAAACTTAAACATGTTACTTCCCTTGTCTCAAAGCAAACAGCAGTACATTACTTTGGCTTTTCCTTCTTCCTTATCTGTATTACAGTTTTAATTTCACTAGGTGGTAGTAAAGTTCAACAACCAAAACTGTGTTTTCACAATGACCCGCACACAAAACCCCAAATGATACATTTAAATATCTTTGTAGGTCAGTATTTTCAAATTACTTCACTCTGTGTAGCTCTGGAATTCATGGCTCGACATTCTTGATAAGTTTAATGAGCACATTTATTGTCAAAAGGCGAAAGACAAAACTTGGAAGAAAATTATATGGGTGTAGACAACAAAAATTATCTGAGTGAAACCAAATCAACAAATCCCACAAAGAAATACATGTAGAGGCAAATCTGAATCAAACAACTTGTTTAAAAACAACAAAAGACCTGAGATGCATTAATTACAACATCATGACTATAACTGAAGGCATTAATAAGAGGATAACTAAGTTATCACATTCTGTAGGAAAAGTTACTAACTATAACAGGAAATTACATTTTTGTTAGAAGTAATCTTTTAAATAAAGATCAAGGTCGACTGAGAACAGATAAAGGAAGTCAATTCTATACAGATGAGCCTTTTTTCAGGCATATGACTGGTCCTGCTTCTGTAGTTAAACTATGAGAATGTGAGCTGGCTCTGCAACTACTGTTGCTATCACCCCGCATTCAGCCAGCCGCCTCCTGTAAAATATACTGCTGTCACACTTTTTAACGGTAGGTCATCACATCTACAGTGCTTGCCAGACTGTATGATATCATGGTCATAAATAAGGCCAGAATTATCCATGAGGCAATAGGAGAGGGTGGGAGAAAGTGAGTGTTGAGAGTAAGAAAGAAAAAGAAAATTTAAAAGACTCAGTGTTTACTGGTGTACGAGCCTCTCCTCCCAACATGAATTCTTTCCATATTTCATCACTGCCCACTTGCCCATACGCTCGTGTCTATGGAGGGAGTCTGAGTCACCTCCTGATGTCATTTCCTCAACTTTTACTTACAATCACACTGCAAACCAACATGAGTTTAAATGTGGTGGACTTTCTGGGGGTAAGAATTATGACGCAGATTTACATTATCCTTTTGTTTTTCATGTTTACAGGCCTCAATAATAGAAATAAGGCCACACAAGAGGGAACACCATCAATTTCCCATCAGAGACACACCAAAACAGGAGCTGTTGTAAACTCTGACTGTATTCATATTTGGTCCTATTAGACGTTTTGGAACAGGCATCCGCTTCATAGCAAGCTTTAAGTTAGTATTGGTTGAAAAATGTCTAGACAGAAAAAGGAGAGACAAAAAAACAGCTAAATCAACCAATCAAATCAATAAAATAGTCAGAACCAATAATGTGAGGGGCAGCTGCAGTGATTTCAAATTCATTCAAAAGGACTCGGGTCATTGATTTTCTACAGAGTCACTGTAAATTACAGAAGCATATGAGGTTTACCGGAGTTAATGAAAATTTGTGTTTTTACCATACATTTACATCACAGGCTGTATAAAGGCTTTGTCAATTGTTTTCACAAAGTTTAAATCTTCACATGAATTTTACTATGGCTATTATGAAGAAATATAAAAACACTGCCAAAACTGCTACATTTTTTAGCTTCAAAAGGTCGCTGTTTGCTTCTCTAGCTGTTATATGACCGGTTAGCAGGCTGGTTTTAGATATCACAGCCATAGATTTAGCAGTTTCCTCATCTTGTACCAAAATTCACCTCTTGAAAAATTTAGTTTCTCTTCATTTACATAAGCAAGCGCAAGCAACGGATTGAATCACAGTTAAATGTTTTATGTAAACGTTATAAACCAACTATTAGTTCTGTTGTGTATAAATCTGCAGTCGGACGGCACTTTAGGATGGCAACAAAACTATTTATGATGCAGATCCAGCTGGTTCTGTCAGTCCAGTGGTTTTGTTTCTGTGTGGTTATCTGTAAAGATTGTACATTCTAGAGTAGTAAAATACTGGTTAAAGTAAGAAGCCCTGTGTGCAGGTGTAAATATGAGACTTAGTTTAGCGAATTATCTGTTAATCTTCTCAATGAGAATAAGACACTTTTGACCACAAAAATTGTAAAAATGAAGAAGAATGGGATATTTTCCAGACCAATATAGAAGCATCGTACAGAGGACTACTGTTCTATTGGGCATCACAAAGGGAAATATATCAAACATTTAAACATTTTCTTTTGTCCTGCAGTTTTTACAGAATACACACATTTTCAAATCAATTCAAATTAATTTACCTTCCCAAATCTTGTAATAAACTATAGTGTTTATAAACTAAACTATTCACAAACGTTTTCGTGTGATTCAGTTGGTGTAAAATTTCCATGTATAGGCAACCAAGCGAACAATTGATGGATCCCTTTATTTACTTTATCATTTGCTTTTAAACAACATTAAATGGGTCTATCGCTCCTCTGGGATTGCTTTGTTCAATCTAAAATTCCAAGGTGATCAGGAAGGCTCCAAGTTCTACTTGGTTACCATGATTTGAAAGACCGCTGGTGACTATGTTCAGATTGACTTCTTGTTGATGAGCACAGAGCAGCATGTGAGAGCTCCGTCCACCTTGACCTTCTCCTGGTTGGACACAGGGATGAGCATGTGGTCTTTCAACTTCTCAAACACCTAGAAATCCACAAAAAGAAGAGTGTCAGTGGACAAGCTGACCTTTGTTAGCATTTCAAACTGAGTCTGAGAGAGACAGCCATTTCAGAGTTTAAAAGGATTAATCGTGTACCGCTTTAGCTGACAGAGTTGCACATTGCAACACAATTAAGCAAAAAAGGGGGAGCGACAGACTATATATATATTATATACATATAATATGTAATATGTGGCTGATGAACATTTTAAAAGTTCCATTGCTTTGAATGCAAGTATTTTTTTCAGTTGACTTTTCAGAATTAACTAGCACTATAAACCATTTTACAAGGAAGTTTGATTGCTTTCAGGAGATGATGGTAGCTAAACGAAGGTAGGTATCCTGCAGCACTTGAGCTTGTTTACTCTACTAATCAAGCTACAATTTTTTTCTTACAAATAAAATGTGATGCAACAAAGGAAGCATGATAGATTTCCTTGTCTCTCTGCAAAATCTCAAAGAAATAAAAAATAAAAGGCAGAGATGGGAGTGAGAACAATTACGACATTCTCAAAAGACCCTTGTAAAGGAGTGTGTCACCCTGTGGACATTTTCCAGGGGAAAACTGCTGTTTTCCTACTGCTCGTCCAAACCAGGATATTTTTCTCTTTAAGGTCTTACCTCAACCCTGCAGTGATATCAAATGAGGCCTTAAAGCAAAGCTAGAGAGACCAACTAAGCACATTTATTTGTCATGATGCAATATGGCAGATAAAGCCTTTAGTGATGCCGATGACATGCATAAAAGTAAAAGTAAAGTGTTGAATTCTCTATCCTTCTCTGATCAAGACACATTGTGTAGCTCAGGCCGGAAAAACAACTCACTTTAATTAAGGGAGACAATGGCATCTCATCTAAAAAATATGTAAAAATAGAATTCAGTGATGGAACATTTTGAGTGATTTCTCCTCTGGAAGTCTTCAATAGTTGTTTACACTTTTCCGTTTGCACCAAAGTGATGAATGAGCCAAACATTACACCAAACAGCAGCCTCCGGTTTAGACATTTTGCATAGCTTTCCCAACTCCACACCAGTAAATCCCCTGCTGTTTATAGCACCTCTGAATCCAAAGAGTCTCTCTTTTTTTATCATCTCCAGCTTAGTTTTCATTACTACTTTTGAGATTTATACGCTGGGTCAGGTTGACATGGTCTCACACAGCAGAGACGGCCATATTTTTATGGACCTTTTCTCTACCCAGTTTCTGTATTTGCAAAGAGAGCCGTCCAGAGCCGTTGGCAGTGCTACCCATTAAAGATGCTGCATCTCCGCCCATCCGACCCCACCAATCCTCCCCCATGACCCCCTGCCTTTGTTCGTACAGAACCCTTATGTAACTTCATGAGCACCTAAAAATAGGCCGGAGGTTAAGGCAGACAGTGTTTGGATGCAGAAAGCAGCAGATGTCTTGCAGAGTGTCTCAGTCATGACACAGACTAATCTTTATGGCTCACAGAAGAAACAAGAAGCAATTTCCTTCGGGAAACATGTACTGCATTAAAAAAAAGTCTATCCTGTTTTATAATTTGTCTCGTGCTATCAATATATTTTGTCTACTTTCTTACACGCAGACGCCGGGCCAAATTTGAGCTCCTGTCTAATTTCTGGTAGGTTTGAGCCTCAAATAGCCTGGAGGAACAGATTATTGGAATAAACATTCATGCCTCAAAAAGTGCTGCAATTGTCCTGTTAAAAGGCTATCCCAAAGCATGATATACATAAATAGGTTTCATCATGCTCCAACTGGATTCCCTAACTCAATCTTCCAGGTAAACTGAGACTTTTTTGTAGATTTAGGTCCAAAAACACATAATTTTGTGAATTCTTCCTTCTAAAAATAGCTGGCGGGTGTTGGGGTTTGAACCACAGAGTACATTTTGAGGTCTGAGCACTGTCTCTGCAGATTGTACGTTGCCAAGCTTAATCCTGTGAGAACCCTTTCGACTTGTTGCAATGTGGAGTCACCGTAAACCATCAAAATGACCCAGCTACTGCTCACCCTCGCCAAACCGCGGCAGACAAACTGAAACAATAACACATCATTCACGTCAAGCCACTGCTGAAATTGCGAGTCATGAAATGCACACATTCCATGAAAACAACTCATATTCAAAATAAATACATTCAGGAGAGCATAATGTATAATTTCATAGGGTTTTACAAAGGATTTTTTAAACATTTATAAAACATAGATACTTATCTTACAATAAAACTGTTTATCTGTTTAAAAAAAATAATGATATTGATTAAGAGGATGTTTAGTTTTACATTAAGTTTACCAGTTGCCCGGTTAGCAATTTTGTTTTTGTTTGTTCATTGTTTGGAGGTTGCAAGGTACAATGAACCCTTACCTTTTCCATCATAATATGAATGAGTAGATTTATTATAAAACATATGGAATTGAGAGTGACTAAAGTGAAACTAACTCTAATTTGTAAAACATTCCACATAAAAAAATGGTTAAAATTAATTATTACTTATTTTAAATTTTGTACACCTGGAGTAAAATCAATTTTTTGTTTGTTTGCTTGTACCTACAAACCACAGCTTTTCAGTGTTTTGTCTATTGTTTCCAATAGCATATCATTTTTTATCCACATGGAACAACTTCTGTATGGTTGCTTGCAGTCTTGTCTTAAATGTGTCCACAAAAAGTGCAGCCTCACATAAAAGTATAGGTTCCTTTGTACGATAAATCAAAAACTGCCCTGCTGGTTGTGGAGTGTCTGCAGTGGTCTGTGTAAAATAGCCACATAGCTTTTGCGGGGTCTCCCAGTTACTTTGTTTTTCTCTGAGGTCTGGACAGGAAGAAATGCAACAAAGATCAGTGCTCTTTAACTTCAAGCCACCAAACCAGTATGGTTCTCCTGATGGTGGTCCTTCCCTCTTCCGATGAAAGGAGTAACCTCGGGATTGTGGATGACTCTGAAAATTGTATGTTTGAGACGAAATTTCAAACTGTGGACGGGAAATAAGCTGAGCATTACCTTAACACTCTCCGGAAACTCCTCTGCTGTACCATGCAGAAGCACATGTCCCTTGTTGGGTAGGTTCATGTAGATACAATTAGCAGCGAGGTCATCAGGCACGGTCAGTTTGTCATACCGATGGTCACTCATTTGTTGCATGATCTGTGCAATCAGAAATGGGAAACAGACAATGAGGTAAACAAAAAGACTGCAATAGTCCTTTCAATGTTCAGAAAAGAAAATATAAAACAGATCATTTGACTCAGAAGCAAGGCCGTGTCCTTCTGCCAGCAAAACCACTGTGGGTGCCTAAGGGAGCTTAATGGGGAACACAGGAGCAGACAGACATTCTTTCTCTGCAGATGTCATGTTTTTATGTAATCTGAAGGAGCTGAAGGTGGGAAGAGGGCTGGAGGAGGAGGAGAGTAGAAGCTCATTCTGCCAAGTGGAAGTCAGGAGGCTGAGGATGTTATGACCAGAAGTAAGGCAGGTGCCTCTTAATGTTTATGAGCAGAACATGTGCAGACGGATACCTCAGAGATGAGGAGGGGAGGGAATGTGGAAAGCTAGTAAAAGAAAAAAAATGTCAACATTCAGTGAAGGTATTATGAAAATTGATATTTTCCCTGCGAGAAATTCAGTCTTCTATCCTCTACCTCAACTTCATTTTTTATGTCAGTTTTAAATCTTGTTGTTTTCCCACTTAGTCTTTAAGCTTAAAAATTAGTTGTACATCTTTAAATGAATAGTGAGGTAATCATGAAAAGTATCAAGCAGAAATGTGCTTTCCCATGTGAAATGCTGCCTGTACCACGTCCAAAAAAGTGACGTCTGTTTGACGTATAAGTCACTTTCGATGATTGGCTGCAAAAGAATATGATTACACATAGCAATAAGGAAAATCCCGCCTAGCTGGTGAGCACAATGAGCTTTGTGGCCTAAAATGTTTATATGTGACGTTCCATCGTTCGATCCACTGCAGTAGGGGAGAATGGAGTTTTCACAGGATGAGCAAAGCCCATTTCCTGTGTTCATAAATTCAAATGACTTAGTATTACAATACAGGCACCGTGAACAATTATTATTTTAACCTGTTGAATGCAGAAAAAACGGGTCTATTTGCAAATTGTCAAACTAAATGAAAATGTGCTCTTGGAAGCAGTTTGTGAGCACTTTCCTTGCAAAGTCCACACGACAAACAGGAAATGACACATTCTGAATGAACCGTGCTGAAAAAAACAGGACAACCTTGTGGCTAGAATGAAGAATAATTCCATCATTTCGGAGACACCTTAAGTAAATTTGATCAGAGGCCTGGTATCATTAGTAAAGGACAGACTGAAACTGATTTACAAGTAATGGCCTCACAGGTCCTTTAACTGACCAATGATGGAAAAAATAACTTTAAATAGACTTTACAACCACAGAAAAAGCTCCTTTAACACAGGTTAGCATGTTTGGGTGCAGGCAGTGTGTGTGCTTATATCTGTATGTCAGCAACCAGAAACATTCTCGGGTCGTTTTTTTTGGTGCCTTATGTGATTGCAGGAGCTCTAAATGAAAACATGCCAGTTCCTGTGTGTGACCACCAATACTCTTTCTCACACAGTGGGATTAGGAGTGTTAGTGAGGAGAAAAAAATAGATGACTCTGTCAAAAATCACAGTTGTTCCTGTAAAACCTTTTATTCTGTGAAACGTAGACAAAAGATAAAGAACCTATCCAGAATGAAGGGAGAATGTCCCACAGCACTATTTCATCAAACCTCATGTTCCATCAAATTTAAGTAAATGTTTAAGTATGTTTAAGCTCTTAATTCTTAAGAAACAAATAAAAAGCTGGTTGAAATTATCTTGGAACATAAAGACTTTTAAGCCCTTCTCAAGATTTGGATCTGTGCATCATCTTCTAGCTAAAAGAATGGCAGCCTCCACAGAGACATTCTGGCTTTTACCCCAGAGTAAAGCTTCAGCAAATCCACTGCAACTTTCTCCTGGGATGTGGCCGACGTCCATTTAATTCACAGAGTGGTAACTGGGCAGCAAATGTGCTCCATCAGAGCTGTGAAACCTAAATATTTACCAGAAGGCAGTAAAATCAGCTCTGGGAAGAACAATATTGGGCAGTTAACAAAAACGTTCAGAATTTACTGGATCTGATGTCCTCCACAGTGATAATCAGCATAATTTGTTTTTTGGCTCCAGGTTTGAATAATTATAATGTTCATTTTAGGAATCCTTACCAGGAAGCCTTTAAAAGTTTTATATCACCTCTTTTTGCTGAACAGCAGCCTCCTGAATGAGACAAATTCAGCCCATGGTAAGACAAATCCAGAGAGGATGTGAGACAAACATTGTTTCCTGATGATGACAACGAATGTTTGTTACTCTTTGAATAGAGTGTGCCAAGATGGCTTAGGAAGGAGGTTCCTGTTTTAAATCTCTGCTTGTCTGTGTGGAGTCTGCAGGAGTTATCAGTATCTGTATCAACTTAATTTCAATTTGAGTGGAAATTTTTATTCACCACAGCAGTGACAGTGTATGGTTGTCACTGATGACATACTTACTATAACAAGCATGCAAATAGAATGGACATATTGAGTTTTATTACTGCTTCCTAAGACATCCGATGGATTATTAGAGGGAACAAGAGAATGAAGAGCCAGTAAGGATGCACAACATACATGATAACTGTTCATTCACTAGTGCTCAAAGAGAATTCAAATCCTATATTGAGGTCCCCGACTCAAAGAAATGACCATAATATATAAACCTACCTCTAAACGTAATCCGTTTTTCATCAACTCTCCTTTGTTCTAAACCGTGACACTGGTCAGATCAGAAGGTCAAACCAAATTTTGATTTAATCATACTTTGATGAAACTCAAGATTATGCTGGATGTTTAATAAAACAGTCTAAAAAACACTTTAAAAGTAATTTGTCTGTAAATCACTTATGATCTGAGAACATAGCACCTTTCCAGGGGGTTCCAGCAACCTTGAGATTTAAATTAAACCTTGACCGGCAGCAAGTGAAGACTCCATGAATCAAACAAAGTCATAGAAAGGGAAGACTGATGACGTAAAACTTGCCCAGAAGACCAATACAGGGAGGGACCTTTGAATGTGAGAGCACAGGGACTAGATGCTGAACCCCGATGAAGGCTGTATTTTGGGGGCGATGACTTCATGTGTGAAGCTTGGTACTGACAACCACAGATGAGGTTCAGATGATGAAATCCAAACAGTCAACATGCACTCTTTTCCCAGACATAGCTAAACCCAGACACAAATGTTCTGGGTTTTGAGTTTTACCAAAATACAAAATAAACTGCCATATTAATCACATATCACTTAATAACAGGTTATTTCAATTTTTAGAAAATAGGTCAGACCCTGCTGTTTTATTAGTAACATTCAATTGCCAAAATGTTGCTGTCTAAAGTCCAAATGAATTAGCTGGCTCCAACATTAATTTATACAAATTTGTCTTTGTTTCAGTTGGATACACAGACAGTGAGCACCATGAGAGCTGCATTTACATAAAAAACGCATTTTGAATTAATTAAAACTGCTTTCATGAGATCCATACCCCCCTAAAAAAGAGAACATTACCTAATTACAAATGAAAGGTTGTTAAAAATCCTTTAAAACAGGAGCTAATTGCTGCAAGAGAGGGTGACGTAAGCTGTAATTAGAAAGCGAGCACTCTGTCATTAAGTCTTGCTACAGGCCAATCCTCACTCCAGTAGTTAATTGGAGGGGGGATTGAACAGGCAGGAATCTTAATAAGTCCATGGTAGAAAAAGAAATAATTAGCTTTTAGGTTATGCACAAAGTTATGTATTCTGTACACCCATTCCAAGAAAATATTAAAATACATAAAAGATCATTAGCCTTCCTCAGATGTGCAGTAATAATTTAGTTTCAGGTTTTAAAATATACAAAATGTGCAAGTTTTGTTTGTTTAATAACCATGTTTAGGTGCTTGGCCAGAGGGTCTTACCATCACAAGGGCGTATGCACTACTGCAAATGTGTTCATAATTTTATAAAAATGTATATCAAGTATGTGTGACTATGCAGTATAAATACACCAAACCTACACCATTTCACCAAATATCACTTATTTTGGCCATTATCTTTCCATGTTGATGTTCTGGAATTCCAGGAACCATAAATTCCAGTAAAGGGCCAGTCTTAGATGATTTATTCTCTTGGAATAAACTGCCAATCTGTCTCTGTCATGGTGTTAACTGTCTCCTTTTTTGCCTCTCAGCATCCTGTTGATTTCCACTGTTTCATAGGGGATTTGTTGATTCAGTAACCTTTTACACAGTAATGAACTCAAGCTGGTTAGTGGAACGACAAAGCCTTTGTAACTGAAGCTTGAGCGCGACGGCCAGGGGCAATCCCTGCAAATGAGCTGCAAATATGAATAAATGAGGAGGTGACAGGTGGTTTCAATGTGTTTGCAGTGGAAAGCTGCCATCAAGCTCTAAGTCATCATATCAGCTCTGGGTCAACACGTGCAATTCCCTGCCTTACAGTGTTGTTTTTGTTTTATATCTTGTAGAGTAAAAAACAAAATTTGGATGGAGTTATTCATGCTAACCGGATCATACAAAGAAATTCAATCTGCCGGCTCAGTCAGTTTCACAGACCTTGAACCAATGCTATTATATTGATTGAATAGGTTCCATGACTGCAGATAGGGATAGTAAAGCCATGGTATAAAATGAAGTGCAACAACACAAATGCACAAGCTCCGTACTTTGAGGGCTTTCTGAGCCGGGTCACTGGAGCCAATGACGATGAGGCCAGGTCCTCCCATGCTGCAGAAACTCTTCAGGTGCAGTCCCTCAAGCACAGGCACAGTGGAGACGGCATAATCCTGTAAACAAAACTCAATTATAATATCTGAATATGATAATCCTTATGGGACAGAAACAGACAGAGCAAGGTAGAGAATTATCTAATAAATAATCATACTTAAATGTTGAGCAATGTATCAGTTTTTTGTAAGTGGTTGCTGACATACAAGTTTTTTTTACAATGGTAAATCTATAAAAGATACTTAGCTTAGTTGTTGAGTAATTACTCATGAAAAAATCAGACATGAGTAAAAAAGGCAGAATATCCACTTATCTGTGACATCTCAGTAAAAATATTGCACACCTTTATTTATTGCTGTACTTTTTATACTGATTATACTGTAAAAAAGTATTCAGCGCAAGATCATTATATAGGGTCCAGAGGGGCAATTAAAGTAAAGTAGTGAAGCTCAGGGGCGGAAACAGCAGGAGTGTTTGAGGGGTGATGTCACTAAGCTCAGGGCTCATGGGGAGATTACATAGCAACTTGTGGAAGCTTGATTGGATGCTTTCTCTGACTGCAGGATGTCTGTCCAGCAAAAGTTAGTCATTACTACTGTTAGAAAAACACAGGTTATATAAAATGCTACTTAAAACAACTGCTACTGATAATAGTTATACGAGTATCTGAGCATGGCAGCTGACTGGATTTAAAAAGAGTTCCTGAAACTCAAAATCAAAACAGTATGATCAGGAAGATGAGGGCAGAGATACAGCACACAAAAAGAAAATTCAATTTTTCCCTGAGAGCTACAGGAAGAATATTATAGATACTCACATATTTATTTTACATGTAACATTTTGGGCTTCTGGTACTACAGTATAAACCCATGAATGTGCATTTGACCAAAATTCCCCGAATCATCAGCAAAGTCTCCAGCTGATCCAAAATGCTATAATGTGACTTCTGATGAGAGTAGCTCATATTTCTCTAGCTTATGCCTGTCTTCATTGACCTCCCATAATGCACCTCTGATCCTTCTTCTCTCTTCCACTCTCCATATGTATAGCATTATTGTTGGCACTTGGTTGGCATCTTGATATCTGTTGTCCTCTCTTTCCTGTACTCTCAAACAGATGGAAATCCTTCCAGGGTCTGGTTCTAAAGGAACCTTCCCCCTATTAAAAGCTAACATATTATACTGGCCATGGTAGAAAAAGCTCTCATTGACATACAGGTAATGTCTTGCTTACTATACATACCTTGAATGTTTTTTCTTATTTATTGTTAAGCTTTATGAAACCCATATTCTCCACATTTTCCACTGGTACACCACATGCTTATCGGGTAAACATTTATAGCTGATTGTTAGCTCAGTTTAAAAATGTGATTCTCTTAGCTATGAATAAATAACTGGACAGCTCAGTTCAATATGCAAAAAAACATGAATTACTTGATCCTTGATGTTTTCCTGAACTCTTTTCCTGGCAAATGTTTAGAGAGTTCAGTGGAGACTACTGGGAATCATGGAATGTTATCTTAACTTTCTTCATTCTGTATAAAGGAACAGGAAGTTTCTGTGTGAAATGAGAAATACAAGCCATTCTTTTGACTTTATCAAGATACAGTGGTGAAAGCGGGAGTAATAATTAGTTTTTATCTATACTGACAGGCTGAAACACTGCAATGCTGTGACCTGAAAAGACTTATTGAACAATATAGAATAGAAGCAGACTCAGCCTCTTTACCAAAATGTGCATTTTGTATTTTATTCATAAAAATAGATGACTCTAAGTAAAAGACGGAAAAAGAAGCGCTAAAATATCTGTATTGCTTTCCTGACAAACGGGGTCCTTGAATAAAATGCATTGTTCTAAACCCTATGAAGGGCATAGAGAAACAAGCCTCTTCCACATCTGTGTGCAGTTGTTGAGCACTAAACAAACCTGGCAACAAAATGATCCTTAATTTGATAATGAAAGGAAAAACCAACACTGACAGGATGAATCAATCTGATAAAAAACGGAAAAAACAATATTTGATCCTCAAGTGATTTTCTTCTGGTGCTATTTGCCAGAGATGCATCATTAAGTCCCCTCTTATCAAAGATAACAGAAAACACAGAGGAATCTGTAATGACAGAGACAAATCAGAGACAGATGGGAATATGGAAGCAGTAGAATCAGGCCGCTGACGTTTGTATAATGTGCTGAACTCTTGACACCCTGACCTACCTCTCAATTTGCGTGTCAGCAAGCTTTTAGCTTTTCCATGGCTGTTCAGACTGAAGCCAAAAGTGACACATGTATGTTTATGGAACGAAGTGTCTTGAATTTGCAACAAAAGTAAACATACTTTTTAAGCATGTAGACCAAATTTGCTGGCTGCATGCTTCAAATCCACTCTGAAACAAATCTGTTGTTTGGGAGATGTTTGGGAATTTTTCCTGCATTCTTTTCCATTGGATGTGAGAGCGGACAGTGGCGCGTTTGGCTGCACTTGAAAATGTCAAACAATAGCAGTTGGATTTCTGTCAGTGAGGAAAATATGAGCCTGCAAACACTGATCACTGATATCAGCAGGATTAAATGAGACAGGGGGAAAAAAATATTCCTTTTTTTCTACGTGCAGAACATTCCCCCCACTTAAATCGCGTTCAAAAAAGTATTTCTGTGAATGCCATGTGTGCTGCGTGAAATGCTTAATCTTGATGGGACAGAGGATCTTTGATGTAAAAACGACCTTAATATATTTTTTGGACTGTTTTTTTGGGGACTGTGATGGGACCCATGTGTCTAAAGGGGTTATTAAGAGTCAAACTTGTCTTATGGTTATGCATTTTGCCATTGCTAAATCATCAAAATGTGGGATTTGAAATTGAAAATGGGCTCATTTAACCCCAATTCATAAGTTATGACTAATTTGTATTCAGTTCAGTAACATCCCCACAAGAAGCACATTAACATTCAAGCAGCTGGGTGTTCAGGAGAATCAGTTGAATTATTTACAACATTGGGTTCAATGGTCCGCAAGGTAAATACCAAGACGTTTGCTACCTCAGATCCTTTTTTTAAATGTGTGTCATTAACTGCTCAGGTAATCACGGTGATCAGCTAACAGAGGCTTGCAATAGTTGATTAAAAGTGCCATCATATCATCATGTCTTTGCAACATTTCAAGTTTTGATATACTTTATATCATGGGTTAGTGTATACGTTTACTCCACATTGGTCTCTTAAACTACCACCTGAGTCATTTTTCCTTTTCTATTCTACTTTTGACAAAACATCAACTCACTTTGAATGCATCCGCTAGGATTTCTGCTCCCCTCTGATTTGTCCGTTTGGAAAGGCCCACAAAGAATTCTCGACCTAAGGAAAAAGTACAATATGCATTGTGAAAAGTCTACGTCGTCTGGAAATCCAAATCTGTGTGGTCTCAGGTCATAGGGTCTAAAAATCAAGCAACAGTCTAAGTGTGCGAAGTTGCCGTGGGTGATCATTGCAGTCATTGTGTGTTTTTATGGATAGTAGAGCCGCTCGTGCAGACAGAGCCCCGACAGCCTGGCAAAGCTGCAGCAGCATAGTGAGCTTAGGGATGGGCTCCTTATGTTGCTGAGCCTTTACAATATGAGCCATTAGCAGGGGCCCTGCCAGCAGGAAATGTTCCTAGTCCTCTCATGTGAAACCCATTTCAGCTGAAAAGAACGACAGCACTGAGCCAGAGTCTAGAAACCCAATTATGTGTACTGTACTTTTTTTCCTCAAGGCCCGTGCAGGGAAGACGGCACTGACCCACATTTCAAACCACCACACAGAAATAACAAAATGTACCAAGAATCAAATAAGGACCACCATGTTTTCATTTCTCTGTTTTCATCAGTTTTATCATCCCCTGCCAAAGAAATATGTCGGCCAAGAGGAACCTGATGACTTGCTGGATATATGGAGCAGTTTTACAACAGATAATTTCAGGAGAAAATCTGCAAGGTGTGTTCAGGCACCAGGTCACTGAGGTCACAGAGAGGAATGTTTGTGTGGGGAATCCAGAAACACAGATGCACACTAACAGGCACGCAAACATCTGCTAACATGCCGTCTCTGAGCTACAGAGGATCTGCTGTGCTCGGGCTCTCTGCTGGTTCCTGTTTACAATAACACTGTCTTGTTCATACAAGTCAAAAAAGCAGAAAAGTCCATTCAGTATATCAAACAAACCAAGTAAAGTCTTACTTTACATGTGGATTGTTAGTTGGAATACATTTCTATCATAATTCATTTAGGTTTTATCGTAAATAGGTATTTCAGTGAAAGTAAAACAAGAATCCAACCACAAATTTGTCCTTGAATATAATCTTTTTAGTAATATTATAAGTTAATATCAGAGTCATTCCGAGACTGTAAAACCTCATCTTAATTGAACTATACTCACTTATTATGAGTAAACATGGACTCCACCAGCTCAATATTTAATTTAAAAAACAAAATCTAAAATAAACATAAAAACGATCCCAATGTTCGCTTCATTCATACAGTATTTAAATACATTTGGGTGTTTTTTTAATACTTTTTTAATCTGAATTGTGAATTTCTGCGGGTGAAAATTTAAATGAGGCATCTTTGAAACTTCAATCTATGTACATCAGTAAACTTCAGTAACTGCTCTGATGTCTGTTATACTGACAACTCAAAAGTCTATAACTATATCCATACAACTCAGTAATATGAATAGAATAAATGTGTCATGTGAAAACTGTAACTGGGTGTGCAATGAAACCCACCAGTAAAGAGAACGTCCCCTCCATCCAGCGTTGCATTCTCATCAGTCATTTCCACAATGTTCAAATTCAGACCCTGCAGAGCCGCTTTCATTGCCTCCGTCTGAAACAACAAAGACAAAAAAAGATAGATTCTGATGATGCTGACTCTAAAACAACAAATCAAATTAAGTTGATACCGTACAATAAATTGTGTTCGGGAATGTGAGAATTTTGTCCAGTTCTAACTAGACATTAGATGAAAAAGTGACAAAAGCATCCACTTTGGGACTTTGGTGATTTGCATTTACAAAAAAAACCATCGTCTTGACACTGCAATGATAAAAAATCTTTCTCTCCAACAGAGTGCGATGACATCATTTCAATGAGCCATGAAATGATGTCATTTTGTAGGAAGTACGTTAAACTTTTATAAGGTAGTGGCCGGGGAAAATAGGCATGCTGAAGGACCAACACAAACTTTGGAAAAACCTCTTCCTGTCCTTCTGTTCTGGGTCATCTGCCTTTCATATATTTATAGGGAGGAAGTGTAAGGATGGCTGCCACCCAGATAAAATTAGTATATATTATGAAATGCATCCCTTTATAGAAAATGACGGGAAATTCGCGTTTTGCCTGTATGCTCTTTCCGCTAAAACCACAACCTGCAAAAAGAGCAGGTCCATTGTTGGCTGGCTGAACTCCGGCTGGTCTGTTCTCTTGTCTGACCGCCCAGAGAGATTTTACTGTCCTGTTTTTGGGGTTCCTAGGGGAGTAGTTTCCAAAGCCGGTCATGTTAGTGAGAGCATCAGTGTTTCCACAAGCCCTATCTCACTATGACCTCAGCCTGCTCGCTGTGATTTTGGGTGAACATAATGCCTCTGCTTCTCCTCAGCCCTGAAAGGCCAAACCATGAGGTCATCCAGGTAGACTGCCATGTTCTTCCAGATAACACAGCGGAGGCTTAAGTTTGACACATGTGGATGAACAGATGTACTTTCCTCTCACCTGAACAAATGGGCCTTTGTGTAAAAATACAAACAGCATTGACTGTTTTGCTGGCAGCAAAAAGCTACTATTTATTATTTTCATGGTTGTTTAAAAGGCCTCAGTGGCTCAAATCCAGAATGGCATTTTTCCAATCTTTTCATTTTCCAGAATCTTTCCAACTTCATGTTTCTTCTTCACTGCAGGCTCATCTTCCTTCTTCAGTTAACTAGGAGGAACACGGTGTCCTTCCAAAAAAATGGGTTCACAAATTCATTAGTGGTTTCTTAAAAGCTCTGACAGCCACAGCATGCAACACATTAAGTATAGGTAACAGCTAATCCTGCCCATTTTTTCTTTGTGCATTGCCAAGACACCCTCTGCTTTTCATTTAGTCAGGTTTGAAGATATGTTTTCTGGGAAATAAAAAAGGCTGAGTCAACTTATGAAGAACAATCCAGATGCGTGAGAGTAAACTGACAGTTTTGATGTTCGCTCTAGTCACGTGTAATGTTGTCTTTGTGTGTCAATGCAATTGAGTCCCATTCCTCACATAGATTTTGCTGTGCTACCCCCTGGTTCAGCATACAACCTTAAGCCATATCACGTGAGTCTATCAAGATGCATTCTGAAATAATCCTGTGTGCATTTCTCTCCTAATCAGTGAGGTCAGATCTACACAACAAAGCTGAATAGCTGTGTCCCTTAATCAATATGAGATGATTTGTTTGATATTTTCTGAGAAGACGTATCTTCATACACTTCCCTCGCACATCGACCTCCTCCTTATCTCATCTCTGGCGCACTGCAGCCCTTTCCCTCTCACTGGTCATCTCCCCAGGAATCTAGTAAACTATAATAGGCAGCCCTTTACCTCACCACTCTGGCATTTCCTCTGAAATCATTGGTGATGCGACCCAAAGTGTGATCATGCTTCCTGGACTACCACATGGTCCATATATATATATATAGATATTGTACAACAGCATGGTATCTTTTTGATCTGATGTGTATGTGTGTGTGTGTGGTAGTTTTTATACAATGACTCTTATGCTGAACAACACAGCTCCTGCTTGAATTAGAAATTTACAGCAAATCTATAATAAGGGTGATAAAGACAAAAAATTGCCATGCTATTTATCATTGTTAATCTTTCAAATGCTTTCAATGAGCAGGAATGACATGTGTGATTGGAATGTATTTAGGATGCTTTTCGAATTAAGTGCATTTTTGAAGATGTGTGATAAGGTTTTGCGGATACAAAGATGTGCAGAGAATTTGACATCATTCAGACCTACCTTTACCATTTTTTTCAAGTCCCAATCACATAAAAAAGCAAAAAGTGTATCATAAAGATGTTAATCTGAGGTAAATGTGCTTCCAAATACAAGTTAACTGTTGTCTGTCTTCAGTTCAGACGACATGCTCAGAGCTCTCTTTGGCACAGCCAGCTTCCTTATATCTTTTATTCACTATTCAACAGTGCCGACCTATTGGATTATTACTGGTTATGTTCTATGCATCCATCTGAAAAGAAAAACTTCACAGATTGTTTATAAAAAAAGATACACCTGTTTAGCCACAAGTTGTCAACAAGATACAACATGCAAAACTAAGCCAAAATGGTTCTGAAGTCTTAATACCATCGTGCATCTGGATTTTCCATGTATTTTATAGTTTGTTTTGAGGTTTCCTTCAATATATCTGACTGAGTCCTCTAGACCTCCTGGGAGAATTGAGTCACTTATTTTTATGCTGTTATATGTCTTATTTCTAAGAACAATTACATTTCTGTTTTGACATGGCCATTAGGAATCAATTTTTACAAGTGTTCTGCTAAAAGTAATGTCTAAATAATGTCACAACTCTTGTTTCATCAATGTATTTTTTTGGTCCTTTGGTGTTTGCAGTATGTACAGTGCTGGATTCAAAGCCAAGTTACTGTCAGCCAACAGCAGGTGTTCTCCAACTGTACAGCACCCCAGTGAATGCAGTGCACCTTCTTTTTATGGTCTTCTTTACGCATATTCCCCTCTATAAGCAAAGTCAGTAAAAAGATTCAAGTTTTGCAAAAATCTCTTGCAAAATGTCAGATACATAGCAAGGCTGTTCTCCTGACTTCTTAAGCCCTGATAACAGTTGCACAGCTACAATTAATATGAATTCCACAGCAAGATATAACAAGTGGATGATAAAGATCATATATAGAAGAACACATTAACAATCATAAATTGATATACTTATAAAAGTATGGTCAAGTCAAAGCTGATTTCCTTCAGAAATAATCAAGTGGAACCTAGTGATCCTCCTTCCTAAGTATGGACGCTGGTTAGTTTGAGAAATCTATTCATTTAACTCTTGCTGAAACATGAATGAAAAAATGTGTCTAACTATTTTTGTACACTGTGTTCACTCCTCCTTTTTTGTCTCACATTCCCTATATTCTCTTTTCACTCTCGTGGCGGGGTTAAGAATGCTTCTAGATTGACTTCTCATGCAGAGTGACCTATTATCTCTCACTATGAGGGACATCCGATACCCCAGCTGTACTGGTGCCAACTTACTTTGCCAACACTCTTCCTTCTCTCTGTCCCCTCAGCCTGTGTTACTTCTCTCCTCTCTGCGCTTTTCCCCCTGAGTGCTTGGCCAGGCGACACGCTGTTAGCCAGCACCCTGCTTTGAATGAAAAAGGCCTTTTAAAATTCATTAGAGGCTGAAAGCTTTGAGGGCCAGTCGGTCTGTCTGCCACATTCCTGCCGTTCCAGCACAGGACAAGGGAGACAGAGCAGAGAGAACAGCCTTTTATTTGGCCCTTTTTATGGAGCAATTCTCCCCTCTCTCGCCCATGGTACCCGTGGATATCGCATTTTACTAAAAAGGACAATCGGTCTGATAGAGCATGGTGCATTTGGAAAGGGAATTGAGAACACAACAATGGCATTCCTAAGGGTCATCCTAGCCTCCCTGCACCAGGCAACAGAGTCCCACGCTCCGATATAATGGGCATACAGCATTCTGCTTAGCCTCACACACGGCTGTTAATCTCTTTGTATAAACCTTCATTGTTTGTCACCTTATTAAGAAAAAAAAACAGCACACAATAGTATACATCAATTTGCAATACTCTTGGTTTTTTTTCTCTTAACATTAAACTTTTTTTCAGCATAAAGACATTTTTAGATTTTCCAGGATATTTAAAAACTTAATTGGGACATATACACTGAAACTAAATTGAAAAAATACTTTTTGTTAGTTGATACATTTGAATTGCCGAAAAATCCAAAATTAAGAAATTAATAGAAATAGAATAATAGAGTAGGAATATCTCACTTAGCATATTCCCCCACATACAGGCATCCAGGGCTGAAATTCAGCTTGGAGTTCTTTCAGCTTCAGCTGAGTTCAGCATCTTTTGGTGCATTATGTCAACAGTTCAGCATTCTCCCAGCTGTTTCTGAGGAACAGCTTTTTTCTTTTGTTCAGCATAATCTTCTTTAGATATAAGATAGAACTGGACTATGTAATGACGTGCAAACACTCAAGTCAGAGATGATGATTGCGACAGATATCAGAGACACCATACTGAGTTCAAAGACCAGTGGACTACAAAATGGAAGTAATGACTGCATTTCAGGGCAATCAACCGAGAGGAATTCAGAATAAATTTGAGATGTCATTAGACAACTACGTTAAATGGATAAGGCCATCTAAGCCTTCTAAGTAATCTTTGATATAATGCAAGAAAAACTGAGTTGTTTCCGTTTGCTAAGTGAATATTAATGGCTGAGTTGGGAAAGTGTTTTCCAAAGGAAGCAGATAAATTGAAGGTCTGTTGTGATACGCAGGCAGGAGCTTTGATTGAATAGCTCAAGGAGAGAGCAAAGAGAGAAAAAGGGGACAGCATTAGATAGTCTAAATGCCAAAGTAGTAAAATTCGATATTCAGCAAACTCAGGGCAGCGTGATGCGACAACTCATTCAGTATAAGTCAAGAGAAAACCCACTCTGTGTGGCCTATATCCTAACCCTACATTATCCATACAAATCCTTGTTGTATGTTGGAACATACCTGCAGTTAACCAAGCCATGACATCCCCCCTCTTTTGCACTACCCCCCTCACTTTAAAGATTGCATAAATGTTAAAAAGTAGGTCAACTTGAAGGCGTGCACAGTAACAGAAGCAGATCAGGGAACCCTTGA